AAATTGTAGTTGTTAAATACTTCTCCGTGATAGATATGGGAGAAGCAAGTTGATCTATAGAGATAGATCTAAATGATTACTTAACTCATCCTAATCTATATAGATAAAATCTCGAGAAGATTTTATATGGGGAAAATGAACTGAGAGTTCATAGATAGACTGATGCTAACTTCTAGTCAGACTAGAATAATAACATATCTCAAATAGGATATTGATTTACTCTTAAGCGGTGTATTGGAAATGTTCCAAATAGGAAATAACCGTTGATTCAATAATGGAAGCCTTATACATCATTGCTTTACAAACAAACAACAGTTATGGTCTGGATCAGGAAGTTCATTCATGAACTTAAAGTAGTTCCTAACATTGTTGGTCACACGCTTCTGCATTGTGATAACAATGGAGCCATCGTGCAAGCGAAGGAACTAAGGTCTCATCAATGATCTAAACATGTGATAAAAGGCGGTATTATCTTATCGGAAAGATAAGTCAATGAAGTGACGTAAAGAAAGAACAAATTCCCACAAGTTATTAAATTGCAGATCCACTGACAAAGAGTTGTCACAGGATAAACATGATCGTCATGTAGACTCTAATGATATAAGATACATAAGTGATTGGATTTAGTGCAAGTGAGAGTTTGTAAGTGTTATGCCCTAGGTCTAATCAACTTTATACATAAACACTTTAAATATATATAATTGTTGCATGTATGTCAATATCTATTATTTAATTGAATTAATATTCTAATAAATTAAATAATAGAATCCGTAGATTCAAGTCTTGGTGATTTGTTAATCACAAGGAGTTGTGATTGTGAGATACAAATTACAAATGATCGAATCTTAAATCGTCTGTGGTCGAAGTATATCATCGCGTGTGGCATTCTTACTTGTGAAGTAAGTAGCTGATCTCACAAGCTAGAGTGTGGTGACATTTGAATGAACACGTGGATGTTTTCTTATAGAGCAAAACATTGGAGACCCACTGAGAGATTCCACTTGGATAACTATCTGAGTGTTAGTGGTTAATATCTAACGTTCGGTAGTGCAATTGGTCATTTGACTTGAGGTCGTCATAGTACCTTATATGAGGACAGTCATATTTTGATGGTGTTGGATGTTACTCTACCAAGGGTCACTAATACAGCATCGTTCGGGTATGTCAAGAATCATATGAAGGTTGTTAATGATCAATAGAGGATTCGTCGCTCTTACATAGTAAGAGATTATGATCTACATTTTATCCAGTTAAGTTAATGATGAAATCCTTGGCCAATGTGAACTCATAAGTCGAAAAAGAGTTTTCGACTTACATTGACTTAACACTGGGATAAAAGATATGATTGATAATTGAGATTGACACGTATCCATATCTCATTATTGATTGGATCATATTGACGAAAGGATTATAATTTCACGGTAAACGAACAAGTTTGGTTTGTCACGTCACGTGACATTTCTCATTACATGTATTGTCCTGATACATTGTTAGATGTCAATCTGAAACGACGAATGTGAATTAGTGATAAATTAAAAGGGGTGTTTTAATTTATCGATTTTGATTA